AAATTCTGTATATTGTTCTACAAAGTTGATGAACACAAAACTAAAGTATTACATTTCCAACTCTTAATGTATTAAGTATAGCAGTATTAGGGTGAGGGACGATCTAAATGGGAACACCAATCTAATTTTAGTGGGTCAAGATAATTTTAGTTTTATTACTTCAGTTTATTTTTACAGGCATTAATTATTAATTTGTATTATTTTAACTGTTTTCATTTCTGCGAGGAAGCCATTACACTTTTGTAAGAGGGACACTGTCAAGTCAATTTATGGATTTGGGAGCCTTACTTTACACACTTTGGGTGAAATGCTGACCCCATTTACGTCAACAAGGCCAGAATTTCACTCCTAGTTTTGAAAATCTTGTCCTCCATTAACAATGAGCCTCACAAAAAACCCTGGGATGACTTTTAACTACAAAGATCTATAAGCAATGCTATTTTAGCAAAACAATGCAGATCCTGATATTTTTAAAAAGCAATTATTTCTGATACAGCCCCCACTAAAGAGTATCCTGAAATATAAACAAAAAATCCCATTTAAAAAAAAACCTGTTTTCCCCATCGTTCTCCTGTTGATGCTTACAAGCATTTTTCCAGAAAAGAAACTGACTGACTGACAGACAACACAGAGGAAAAGTGAAATGACTATGAACAATGTGCTGTCAAATGCACAAAGTTTAGATTAACTGGACAGGAACTGTCATTTACTGTATGTGCAGGGCCTACCACAATGGGGCCCAGATATAGTTGAGGCCCCTGAGCACTACCACAATATAAACGTTAAATAATAACAACTGAAAAAAATTCAAAGACTTTTTTAACCTAACTTCTTTCAGTTACCATACACTTGGGTGTTACTTTCAAGGAAACTCCACAGGGGGTTGCACTAGCAGATCTTACTGTAGGATCAGAGCAATAGTAGATTACAATATTTTCAGATAGAAAGGTGGCTTTCAAGTTGATAGGTTTCTTTTAATAGTTGTCAGTAAGGAACTGAAATACTGAATAAATACTTGCATCAAATACAGATATGGACACATTAAACTCATGCTTATCCTGATTTCAGCAGAAGCCTGTCAAGTTCTCTGGGGCCCCAGCTGAGCAAAACATTTAAGCACATGCTTAAGTCCAGCTCTATTCAGCAAGGAACTTTGCTTTAAGCACATACTTAAGTGCTTTTCTCAATAGGGATGGAATGACATCTGCCTATGCATTTGTACAATGCCTACTAGAATGAGGCCCTCATTCTGAATGGAGCCTTTGGGTTCACCCACAATATAAACAGAACAACTTCCTTTTATATTTAGTTCCAAATTGCTTTATTTATGTTATAGTAATGCCTAGAGACACTAAGGACTAGAGCCCCACTGTGCAAGGCAATGCACACACAGATAATCTAAATAAGTGGACTAACATTTAAAAGTGCTGAGCACCCAACAGCTTCCACTGACTCTGATGCAAAGTGATAAGTTTCCAGCACTTTTGAAAACCAGGCCCCAATTTTAGAGAGCACCTAAGCACTTGGCTAAACATCCTTCCTGAGCAATGATGCTTCCCTGAATCAGGGTCATTTTTAGGTGCTTACATGTTGATTGGGCGCCTAATTTTACACTCTTTGGGTGAAATCCTGATCCCACAATAGTTAATAGGAGTTTTGCCATTAACGTCAATGGGGCCAGGATTTCACCCCAGTTTGAAAATGTCCTTCATTAACAATAATGAGCCTTACAAAAAACCTCAGGATGTCCTCTAACCAGGGCCAGTGCAACCCATTAGGTGACCTAGGTGGTCGCCTAGGGCACTAGCATTTGGGGGGCGGCATTTTCTTCAGCGGCGACCGCAGCGGCCAGATCTTCGGCCGCCCCAGTCGGCGGCGGCATTTCGGTGGAGGGAGCTGGGGCAGGGGGGCGCGGGCGCGGGGAGGGCTGTCTGCAGCAAGTAAGGGGGGCGGGGTGGTACGCAGGGGAACCGCTCCCCGCCCCAGCTCACCTCTGCTCCGCCTCCTCCCCTGAGCACACTGCCCTGCTCTGCTTCTCTCCCTCCCAGGCTTGTGGCGCCAAACAGCTGATTGGCGCTGCAAGCGTGGGAGGCGGGAGAAGTGGAGCAGCGACGGCGTGCTCGGGGAGGAGGTGGAGCAGAGGTGACCTGGGGTGGGGAGCTGCCGCATGGCTCCCCGGGCCGGGGAGGTTGGGGAGCTGCCACTGGGGGGGGGGGCGCCTCAGGGCGGAGGGGGTGGGTGGGGAGCTGCCGCGGGGGAGGCGCCTCAGGGCAGTGGGGGTGGGGAGCTGCCACAGGGCTCGGGGAGAAGGTGGAGCAGAGGTGAGCTCGGGTGGGGAGCTGCCGCAGGGCTCCCCGGGCTGGAGTAGGGTGGGGAGCTGCCGCAGGGGGGGCGCCTCAGGGCAGGGGTGGGGGAGCTGCCGCAGGGCTCGGGGAGGGGAGAGGGCGCAAGGTGGAAGTTTCACCCAGGGCGCGAAACATCCTTGCACCAGCCCTGCCTCGAACTACAAAGATCTATAGGCAATGCTATTTTAGCAACATAACACAGACACAGCTATAACATTTTGAGCTTATTTAAAAATGACTTCCTATAGTTTATAACTATTCTCTCCCCTCCCCCTTTTTACAGTTTTAGTCCTTCTCTGGGCATCTGCAAAACAGCTTTGTATGGTTTGAGATATTAGGATTCAAATCTAAATGTACAGACTAGCAAAGGGAACCACTACTACAAAAACAATTATCGGTTTAGTTACAATCTGGTTTTGTTGTATTTTTATTCAATTTTAGAATATTATAGGCTAATTTAAAAAGCACTTTTCACAATATTAGTGAAATGATAAAAAAGAACATTTCCCCCTCTCTTGCACATAATTTACAACAAAATAGAGCACATTTATTTCATGCCACAAAAACAGAGACAACCAAACAATTACACATTAGCAACAAATCTCCAACTATAAAGAAAAGCTTAGCCATACAACCAGCACAAACATCCACAAACTGTTCTACTAAAATAAGGTAAAATAAGAGTTTTCAGTCAATTTACAGCATTTTGTACCCGTTTATGACTATGATCTATTTGATCATAATTGGTCTCATATTACTGGATAGGGCTTATGTAAGAAAACTGAAATCTTGCGAATAAAGGAAGCTTTTGTTGTTCCTGTGAAATGACATAAGTTGAATTTAAATTGTTTGTGAAACTAACATTATGCATTCTACATTCTACAGTTTAACACAGTAATCACTAAGAAGTTAGGATGGCAGCTGTTGTACATGTTAAGCTAACAAATGTTACGTGACCAGAGATGACTGGCGTGACATGTGGCTGTAGCCCTTTTATACAGTCATGTTCCCAACTATTTAAAAAATGTCCACAAAAGGTCCTTTAAAAATAATATTCTCAAGAAGTTTGTGGAAAACTGGTCCTATAGTATTTATCCCCATCCAGCTGTTTATCATTTTGTTAGTATGCACAATCTAAGATTTACATTAAAAAATAATCATATAAGAAGCAATTGCCTTTGAGAAAAAAAATTATTAACACTATGACCTGAAGCTGGACTAGTTTGTCTGGAACCAGAGGGCAAGTATTACATGTCCAACAATCAATTATCAGTCCAATTTTTTGTATCTATGATCATAAATCTACATACACACCCATAAGTAGAGAGAAATCTGTTTGTCCTCTAGATAGATTCCAACAGTCTGTGTGAATTGTAATATTCAAATATCAATCCCTTTTATCCTTATCCTCAAGTATTGCGAAGACTTTATTTTTGATGGATCCAGATATGTCTAATTTTCAATATTCTTTCTGTAACTTGTACCTTTGTATCCTCCATTTTGATAAAAATTAATATATGCAAAGGCCTCTTGGTTGCTCCTACCGCTTCATTCATCTCTCAAGTAGCTACATATGATGCCATTTGCTAGAAGGGTCCAACTGAGTCTAACACTGGACAATTTCCTGAAAGCAATTGTTTTACCTGATGATCTCACAACATCAAAGCAGCTTCCCATTTGACTTCCAGTAAGGTCAGTTCAGTAAAACATTTATTACTTTAAACAGAGCTGGGAAATTCATTAGTCTAATTTTACCCTTTTTTATTCACGAATTTTTCAAATATCAGACCTGAATTTTACAAACTTGTTGGAAATTACTCAATGAATGTTTAAGCAATGGACAGCTCATGAATTGGGTCTGCTGCATGTATTCTCTATTTGTTATCCGCGTTATGTAAATTGGGTGGCAGGACTAGGGAATTTTTATGAGATTGTAATCTTTTCTTTTCAAGGTCACTTGAGGTAGGCCTTGCCTGATACATCATTGCTAGATTAATTAGGCTACTGTAATAATAGGACTTGATCAGACTTAAAATAGAATGTCTTACATCACACGTAAACCAAATAATTGCACATGGCATATTTTTTGAACAGCACTACATTAAAGCACACTAGGGACCTTTAGTGTGCACCAGCAGGGTCTACATCAGTGGTTCTCAAATATTTGTACTGGTGACCCCTTTCACATAGCAAGCCCCTGAGTGGGATCCCCCTTATAAATTAAAAACACTTTTAAAATATATTTAACACCATTATAAATGCTGGAGGCAAAGCGGAGCTTGGGGTGGAAGCTGATAGCTCATGACCCTCCAATGTAATAATCTCGCGATCCCTTGAGGGGTCCCGACCCCCAGTTTGAGAACCCCTGGTCTACATGGACCAAAAGTGTGCTTCAGAATTCACACCCCCGTAGCGTGCATTACCCCATTGTGTAGATCATTCTTTTTATTCTCTGTCTTAAACTGTGGGTCTGAGAGGGCATTTGATTGAAGGTGGCTAGTATTTGCAAGCATCACAGGAGAAGTGGGCCTTTAGGAGGAATCTAAATGAGGAGGAAAAGGGATCTGGCACACTGGGATTGTTGAAGATAATTTTGAATGAAATATGACATGTAGATAAAAGAAAATAGACATGAGCTCATTTGTTCAGGTTTACCTGTCATGTGTCCTCATAAAGTCCCAAAACTTCTTAGTGCCATTCTAGAAAAAACAAAAACAAAAAAGGGAAAACAAAACAAAACAAAACTCATCAATACAATTAGTCTCCAATGAAAATTGGCTACCTGAAATCAAACATCATTTTAACAACAGCAACTTCCTTCCTTGACAAAACTGGCTGAATCTGGAATATATTTATTGATTTTTGACCACAACAGTAGTGTTGCAGGAACAACTATTTAATTTTCAACTAGAAACTGGAAAGGGCTAAGGAAGGGACTAAATGCTTACTTACCACTTTGTAAGAGCAAAGGCAAATATGTTGCAAACATGTGCCTAAAATGGGCACCTAACTCTATATTTAGGCACCTAAATCAAAGATGCCCGATTTTCAGAAGTACTAAGAACCCATATCTCCCAGTGACTTCAGTCTATTCTGACTTAAGTACCCACATATGGCTTAAGGATACTGGTTTTGGGCACCCAATGTTTGACAATCTGGGCTCTAGTTTCCAGTATAACGATGTTCACTTACAAGGATATGCTACTGAATATTCTTATCTTGATTTATAGATGGCAAAAGCATGCACATAACAGCTAAAAATATTTGCAACAGAATAAAATCTCTGTATTGTTACCCTATGAAAACTGATAATCAACTAGCTACTATGCTACAATTCACTTGTTTACTTCCAAGATAATCTTGGGCCAAATTCAGTAGACCTGTGCTTCCAACATCACAGCTGAATTTTATCCCCCAAACTGTAATAATTTCCCCCACAGATTTAATAGGTATGTTGACACTTGTTTTACACATATAACTTCACATTGTATAGTCTATGGTATATCTATTAAGACACCTCAGCTGAACTCAACAAAAAAATAAATCCTTTTCCATCACCTTAAGTATAAGTTCTCAGATGGTGTAAATCAGCAAAGCTCCACTGAAGTCTAATGGAACTATTCCAGTTTGCATCAGCTGAAATGTGGCCTACAGATTTATTTCCTTAAATCACATTTTGGGTTTATATGATAAATTGGGAGCCACCTGAAGGAACCACCTCTTTTGGTAACTGCCTCTCTCTTTAATTGGACAGGCAAGAGGTAGACCTGTTGAGGACTTGTATATCTAAAAGATACTGTGATGGGGTGTACCTTGCCCTTCATGGCCCGCTGCTGGAGAACCTGTGGTCCTACTACACCCTGCCCCAGGAAGGAGCAAAGGAGGTGGGGCCTCCAGGCCTTCCTATAGAGGCCTTGTGGAAGCAGCCAATCAGAGCCCAGCAGGCTCGGCTAAAAGGAGCAGGTCAGCTCCTGGCTGGGGCCAGTGGGGTAAGAAAGTGTTCCTTTACTCTGGCCACAGGAGATTGACTGGCTGCGCCCCCCCCCCCATCCCCGATGCATCAGTGACTAGGGACAGCAATGGTTGAGGCCTGGAGAAGGGTACTTACGCACATACTGCTTGCGGATCGCGCCACCACTGGAGGGACTTGAGGACTGGAGGAGTGAGTGAGACCAATTTGTCTAGGTGGTCTCAGTTCGGCCTGTATACCAGGGCTAGCTAAGCCTGAAGGGGATGGAGCTGTAGCCTGGCATGCTGTACCACATACGTGCAAGCAGCCATATGGCCGAGCAGTTTCAGGCAATTTCTTGCCATATTAGTGAAGAATCTTCTGAGATCCTCTATGATGGTGCCCGTGGCGAGGAAGCGAGATTCCGTGAGGAATGACCTAGTCTGACCTGAGTCGAGGAGAGCTCTGATTAACTCTATCCTCTGAGTGGGGGTTATGGTTGACTTTGCCACGTTCAGAATGAGGCCGAGCCTGTGGAATGTCGTCCGCACCAGGCTCACGTGGGCCTCTACGTGGGCCCGGGAGCGGCCCTTGATTAGCCAGTGGTCTAGGTATGGGAATACTTGCACTTGTCACTTTCTCAGGAAGGCTGCCATGACTGCCACACACTTGGTGAACATCCAGGGGGCCACCGAGAAGCCAAAGGAGAGGACCATGAACTGATAGTGGGTGTTTTTGACCACGAAACAGAGGAACTGTCTGTGGGATGGGATCATGGACACGTGAAAGTCCTCATCCTTCAAGTCGAGGGGGTATACCAGTCCCCTGGATCCAGGGAGGGAATAATGAAAGCCAGGAACTTCAACTGCTTCATGAATCTGTTTAGGTTTTGCAGGTCTAAAATAGGCCTGAGCCCACCCTTGGCCTTTGGGATTAGGAAAGACCGGGAGTAGAACTCCCTGCCCCTGAATTCAAGAGGGACCTCTTCTACTGCCCTGAGTTGTAGGAGCGTTTGCACCTCCTGCACTAGAAGTTGCTCCTGAGAAGGGCCCCAGAAGAGGGACGGGGAAGGTGGGAGGAAACAGAATTGGAGAGAATATCCCAACTCTGCCATGCTCAAGACCCACTGATCTGAGGTGATTTGAGCCCAGGCGTGGTAGAAATGGGATACAGGATTCACAAAGGTAGGGGAAAGATTTGGGATCTGAACTGGTGCGTGGCCCCCTTCAAAAGTCTGGTTTGGAGGCTGAGGGCTACTTTGCTGCACTTTGGCCCTGGGTTAGAAGAGGACTGAGAAGGCCTCTGTCTATCACTCCTACCCTGCTTTCTGCTATAGTCCTGCCTAGGAGGATCCAAGTACAAGCGAGGGGCGGGTTGCAGCTTAAATGGCTTTCTTTGAGGGGCCGGCATATGAAGCCCTAGGGACTTCAGGGTTGCTCGCAAGTCTTTCAGGCTGTGAAGCGTAGTGTCTGTTTGCTCCAAGAAGAGTCCTAAACAGTCAAAAGGCAAGTCCTGAATAGTCTGTTGGACTTTGTGCGGGAGTCCCAACACTTGGAGCCATAAGCTCCATCTCATTGCTATCGCAGTTGCCATCATATGGCTTTCTGAGTCCACCAAGTCAAGGGAGGCCTGCAAGGAGGTCCTCACGACAACCTTGCCCTCCTCCAGGACAGCCACAAACTCCAAATGGGAATCTGCTGGAAGCAGTTCCTGAAACTTGGACAGCATATTCCAGGAATTATAGCTATAGCGGCTAAGGACTGCCTGCTGGTTGGCAATGTGAAGCTGGAGCCCCCTGGTACAATACACCTTCCTACCGAAGAGATCCAGCTTCTTCACCTTCTTGGATTCAGGAGTCAGCCCCAGTTGTCCCTGCCTTTCCTTCTGGTTGGCAGCCTCTACCACCAGAGTACTGGCTGAGGATGAGTAAACATACCCTTTGGAGGGCACAAAATATTTCCTCTCCATCCCTTTCGCCGTGGGGGGAAGAGAGGCGGGTTTTTACCACAACACCTTAGTGGTTTAATGTATAGTCTTAATGAGGGGCAAAGCCACCCCTGAAGGATCTTCAGGGACCAGAATGTTAACCATAGGGTTGGTCTCCTCCGACACCTCCTTTGCCTGCATGCTCAAATTTTGAGCCACCCTCCTGGGCAACTCTTGGTACGCCCTGTTGTCCATTGTAGGCAGTGTGGTGGAAGTGCCCGCCACCACTTCATCTGGGGAGGATGAGGAAGATGCCCACGGGGGCACTGGGTCTTCCTTACCCTCTGGTTCGCAGGTATCCCCTTGCACTGAAATGCCATGTCGGGAGTGCTGCTGATTTCCAGGCCCGCACCCTTCTCGGTACTGGCCCTGGTGCCAGGTTCCGCAGCAGTGTCAGCCTGCGTTCCCATCTCCTGCCCTTGCGGGTGGGGGGACAACCCTCAACTGAAACTTATCTAAATCTAACTAAGACTATTTGAACTAACTAACACACTAAAATGTTAAACTATTTATAAGAAACCATGAGAAAAAGTCTAGAAGGGGATAACTTGCTGTTAGCAAGAGAGAAGCTGCTCCAATGACCGTCAGTGGCGTTAAGAAGGAACTGAAGAGGCAGCGGTTCAGCAGGGACCTATATACACTGCCTTGAAGGCATGGATCCAGGGGGCTCCACAGCCAACCCAACAGGTACCACTAGGAGAAAATATTCCGGCAACTGTGCATGCGGTGCGCACACACCTACTTGGAATTGACACGAGCAATCACGCAAAGAAGAATTTCCTTTCTACAATTGCAGAGAATGTTGTAGTATGCCCTTTAGCGCATATGACAGGTGGGAGTGCAGATCTTAGGAAGTCATCCAGAGGCCAGAGTCATCTGCATGAAGCCCCTGGGCTTTTATATTTGCTCCCCAGCACCAGCCTTCCTCTGCCTCAAAAAGCAGTATACCTTAAATGGAGTCATCATGCCTTCATTTATGTCCCCCACTATTGCTGCTCACCCGAGGAATTCCTTTGAGGAAGGTAGATATTCAGATTATGGAGAAGGAGAAGAGAGCCTGAATTAATGTTTATGAAGCATTCATTTAAATTTAGGCAATTAATCCCTGTGGGATTGCTGAGATTATGCCATGAGGTGCAGCAATCCTCCTGGCCTCAACTGCCCTCCTGTTCTTTTGCAAATTACAGAACCTGACTGCCATGAAACACAGAGTTGAGGAAAATTATACTGTGGAGCTGGTACCATGTTCTCCTGTGCTCCCAACACAGATGCACCAAATCTGAATCCCTTCTGCTCATATATGCCCCCATTTACAGTAATGGGATCTGGCCTATGAACTGTACATAACTTTAAACAGAAAATAAGAGACTCAGAAATAAAGGAGTTATCAGGACAGGAAGTCCATGTTTTCTGTGAAAATGACTAGCATTTGCCCACATACAGTTCATTATCTAGATGGCAAATACACTGAAAGGTTTACTTATTATTACTGACTTTTTAATGTACAGTGTCACACCCATAAAAGGGTTAAACTAATTTACACTGAGTCCTTCAAGCTGCTGTTCATCATCATCCACTTACAGCACTATCTGATCAATGCATCTTGTGGCTATATCTAAATAATAATCCATTTCATATATCCAACCTGCACCTGTCCAAATAAATAAATCAATAAACAAATGAAACATTCCAACATCCCATTGTTTACAGTGGCAGAAACTCAAATGAGCACCAGTCACTCCTATTGTCCAAGTCTAATGTAAT